CAGTCCAGGGAACTCTTAAGCGTCTTCTCCAGCACCACAGTTCAAAGGCATCAATTCTTTGGCGCTCAGCCTTCTTTTTTGGGGTGATAGGAGTTGCAATAGACCCAGGAATATCAGGTTAGGAAAAGCTAGTTTAGATGTACCTAGCAGTGTCACACTTCCTGCAAGTGACAGGAAGAAAGATTTAGCTAAATATTTTCTAGGAAGAGAAAACAATTTTTCAGGGAGCAGACAGGAAGTGGCAACAGTAGAATTACCTCCTTTTTCAATCTTTTAACAATGCCTCCCAATTGACCTTGTTTTAAGCTACCAGGAAGAAAAAATGAATACTGCCACTCACAAATGATGGAGAATATTCACACTCTATGCAGCAAAATAGCTTTGAGTGAATGTCAAAAATGCAATTCTGAAAACTGTCTTCTTAAAAGCTCCCTGGGAAATGAGGACCTTTTTCTTCTTCAAACCAGCCATATCTCTTCCTGAGAACTTTTAATGACTGGGAACCTATCACCCTTTCCCCCACTGTAATCCTCTTTTCTTAAAGCTAACCCCACCCCCCATCCTGTTACAGTAGTAAGACCTTCTGAACACTTTTCTCTCCCTAGGAGTCTGAGTAAAACCTAACAATAACTTCTGCAACAAGCTTCAGGGGAGGCAGCAGTACCTAGAAGAGAAAGTACTGTGACAACTTAAAAATGAGTATTATGAATATATCGCTGCATAGGGGAAAACAGGCCATGGTCAGTCGAAAGCCATGAGATACCGTGGTCCTATCTCGGTGTATCTCCAGCAAGCTAAACGACGGTGGGGGCCGCAACAGGTGAGGAGCCAGGGAGCTTCTGGCGGGGGTAGCAGCTGCAGCGTCTCCCAGGCCCCTTGTTGAAAGGTCTCCTAGCAACCGCTCGGCCAATGGGGACGCCGCATGGGGAAGAGAAGGCGGGGTTTGCGCCCAACGCCGCGAGCCGTGCGAGCGGGAGGGGCCAGGTCGGTTGGCGGAGGGGCAGCGGCGGAAGCGGCGGGAGCAGCTGCGATTGGGAACCCGAAGCTGGCCGGCCTGTCCGGACGGAGCCAAGTTGCCCCGCCCTTCTGTGCAGCAGGTGGGAAGTGCCAGTGGCATGTCCGCTAAAGGACGGGCAGCTGCTGCCCAACCCCGAGAGAGGCGGCGGTGGAATGTCCCACCCTCCCGGCTCTCCTGGAGCAGGTCTGGGCTTGATCTCTCTGCACACCGTGGTGGGGGAAGAGCCAGGGCGCGCGCTTGCGTCGGGGTGTGGGGGGTCCTGGCTGCCGCGGCATGCGGAGGGGGAAGCATGCTCATGGGGCGGTGCAGGATGGGTAAGCGGGTAGTCGTATTGCAGGGAGAGCGAGCATTCGTGTTCGAGTCGAGAAAAATGGGGAGGGGAGAGAGACCCACGTGCGGACGGCAGCCTGCTCCCTACGTCTAAATAAGTTGTTAAACCCTGCGGGGTGGATATCCTCTCCGTTTAAGACAGCTTTTTGCAATCATTTATTTCTTCGTACAAAAGCAAAGCGTGCACATGAAGGGAACATGAACACACATCGAGCTGGGAAGATTTGGAGGCAGGCTCTGGAGACCCATAGCAAGGTCGGAGTGTGCGCGCGCATTCTGTGAGCTGCGCTGCCTGCAAACCTATGAACCTGCTGGTCAGGGGATTTTGATAAGCCCTGGAGTCGGAAGCCCTGCTGGAGGTGTATGTTCTGTGGCTGATACCTAATCACTTGGAGTCGCCTGGTATCGTGACGTAAGACGTAGCATTTTAGATCTAGCTGTTCCAGTTGCCCTGTCTCCAAATGCTCTCTATAGATGGCTTCTCTGCTTGATGTACGAAGAACAGACAATTCGTCCCACTGAAATTGACTTTATATTCCTTTATATTTTTGGTTAATCAGCTTTCCCAATCTGGTGCCTTCCAGATATGCCTTGCTGAGAACAGCAGTTTAACTTACCTGAAGGCTGAAATTTGGGAAGGCTGAGTTAGCTATTTTTCATGACTCATGAGGACATTCAGTGAAGTTACATGTGGCTGTTTTCAAGCTTGTATTGTGCCTGTTATGGGATATAGTTTTTGCTCTCCAAAGTACACCATTTAGATTCCTTGTAAGCATCACAAAAAGGAATGGCATCAGATATTTATAATTTTTGGCTGTTCCATCCCAACATAATATGTATTACAAAGTAATCTGTGTTACTTGGAAAAGAATGTGCTACAATGGTGGCAAAATTCTTAAAACCAGCTGATTGTTGTTGTTTTCCTTGCCCACTGTTGCAATTTAACCGAGTGAACATATTCTTTTTAGCTCACTGGGAGAAATTGTTTCCAGCATTGGAAAAATAAATGAAAATGATTCTGCAGCTCTTTTAGAATATTTTTAATAAGTTTTAAGTTTTTTAAACCTCTGAGCTCCTTGAGGATGCTTCATGCTAATTCATTCCAGAATACAGAGATTGATAAGTTAGGAAAAATAGTTTGTGCAGGTCTTGTTTATCCTTCATTGTGCTTAGTTTATATCTAAGTATGCATGAAAAATACCCTATTTTATATTTAGTATATTTAGAAAGCAAATGTAAAAGATTATAATTCTTAAATATTAGATGTAAAGTTATATATATTTGAATGGCTTCTGGGGGCACTTAAATTACCATTCACAAAATTGATTTTGTTTCATTTGGATTAGACCATTATGTAGAGTCGATTACTTGCTTAATGACAGATTTACATATCTATAAATCCTCTTTGCAATTTTCTTAGAACAGTTGCTGTTTCTTGTTATGTAGCACCTTTTGAAGGGCTAGTAAAATACACATTCTTGCACTAAAGTCAGGCTATGAAGATTAGACATGGCTATAGAAGAGTTCGGTATCAATTTTCTAGATGGTATTTTGATTTAAATGCCTTGTTTCATCAGTGGTAAGATACTTTGATCTCTTTTGGAGAGCAGTATGACTCCATTGCAAAAAACAACTGAATGTATATAAAATCTTGGACAAGTATCTCTCTTTCTGGATGAGGATGCACCATGCACTGAACATCCATATGGTGTAATCTGACTGTACTGTTTAAAGTGAGCCTTAAAGGACGTGTCTCAATAACATACAACACTATTAGAATACATAATGAAACTGGTGGTTAAGCCAACCTTTCAAATTGTACAGAATTTTTCTTAAATTATTCTATAATTATTTATTGATAAAAGAAATAGGCAGTTAAATTGAATGGAAGGTAATTTTGGACAGCACAAAACAGTTGTAGGGAAGAAGGTGTTTTCTAACTTAGAATGAATTTTGCATTATCTAAAAGTATATTTCTGTTCAGAATCTCTTGACAAAGAATGGAGAACTGATTTAATATAACTAGACCAGGGACTAACTCTTACTTATCATATTAAAGTATTATGCTAATAAGAATGGGGAGATAAAATGAAACAAATGTTAGCACATTGGTGTCAAGAAAGCATGAGAATTGAAAGGCTGTGCTACAGCTAGTGATTGTCATCAGTTCTTTTGAACCTGATCTTGATGGGTATTTAACCAGCTTAAGAAGCTAGTTCTGAAGTTTTTGCCTGATGTTCTTGCCACATGTAATTACTGCTTGCTGCTGCATGGAATTGTGAATCACTGCCATGTAAAATTAACTTGACAGCAGCAGAATGAATCAAGGTAGCAGAAATGATTATGTGACAACATTATTTAATCTGATGTAGCCTCAGTGGATAAGTTTTGCTTCCCAGCTTTGAAAATCAAGGATTTTTAAAAAATATATTGTCAGTCTGTTAATTTGTTAGAAAAACAATACTGTACTCGGAAATATTTGTAGCAGTATTTCTTCTCTCTGTATATTTCCTAACTCTCTTTCAGTATAATGAGCATAAAAAAGAATGTGAGCTAAAATCATATCAGAGTCTTGTGAATCCTCAAGGTTTAAATTTTCAGGATATTTAATATAAATATTTATGATTGCATAATATTTATTATGTACAGTGCACTTCAATAGTTGAAGAAAATGAAATTGCAAATTGCTGTTGTACTTTCAACTTTAAAAGTTCTTATACTGCTTACAGAAGCTTTCTTGTAAAACACTGCCAGGAAGGCAACATCTCTGATTCAGGGCTAGACATCCTGTGATCAATAGGCTCATGCTACTCTGAAGATCTCCAAATCTTTCTTCCCCAAATCAGGGGACATTGTTACATCATTGCATCAGCTTCTTAACCCTTGGCCCCCAGATAAAAGATAAAAGAAAAAAAAGTTTCCTGGCATCAAAAATGTTATCCACTTAATTCAACCTTGTTATAACTTTTAAAATTCACATTGACAATAAGTTCACCATTTGCCTCATCATGTCCAAGCAAAATTTCCTACTTACTGATGCATTTGTAAACATTTGTCTGGGGATATAAAACTAAACATACAGAATATCAAGTCTGAAAATCCAGAATGTGCTTTAACCAAGCAGAATGTCTTCTAGGTCTGCTTATGCTCAGCTTTGGCTTAAATAGTTTCATTAATTTAAAATGTTTTTGCTGTTTTAGGAGATGCTGACTTAGGAGATATAACCCACAGTGATCATAATGCTCCTCTGCTGATTGATCAGGCTTCCTAGATGTGTTAGTTGCTATGGGAGATTGGAGCAGTGTAACAGTGGCAGAGCTATCCTCAGGTAACCAAGTGATAACTGGAAATTTCAGGATATTTATTTGATTTGTACTCTGCCGCAATCTCAAAAATTCTTGGCAGTTCATATATAGCGATAGAGATACAGTAAAACACCCACAGTAAAAGAATATAAAAACAGTCCAAAGCACCATCACCACCTGTGAGTTTCAATCCTACTCCTTACCTCACAAAAGCGGTGGTAGTGATGTCATAAGCAGGTTCTCCCAGGACTTCTGAATCAGGTGGGGTGAAATAAAGAATAGGACTGTGCAGTATTGTGTATTCAGTTGCTAAAGTGGTGCTTCAGAAGATGTGGGGGGTCACAAATGACCCTGGGAGAAACCATGAGCTACTTGAAGTTGCCGACTGATCCTATGTTAATGCCAACTCCAAAATACCTTTTTGGAATTGAATCCAAAGCACCTCATAGGTCCAGAGTTTAATGCAAGGCACTTAATAGCGTTCACATATTTTAGTCATTCCTAGGCTAGAACTCTGGATGTCTGTGCTTAACATAGGTAACAACATTTAAAATGGAAATGCAGAATGATATGGTGGCTTATAATTCACTTTGCTGTAAAAACTAAGCTTTGCAGACCTGTTACACATTTTCCTTTATTTTCATTTAATAGTCAGTGGTAAATTTACAGTGCATTCGTAAAGTATTCAGACCCCCTTCACTTTTTTCAATTTTGTTACGTTGCAGCCTGTTACTACAATCATTCAAATTCATTTTTTTCCTCATTAATCTACACTTAGTACCCCATAATGACAGAGTGAAAACAGAATTTTAGAAATGTCTGTAAATGTATTGAAAAGAAAAAACT